CTTGGGTTCCATAGTAGATCTGATATAAATGAGTTTCATATTAACTATTTTTATATAGAGGTAATTCTATATATCACCTAATATTAAGAGGAAGAATTTAATAATCACATTACTAAATTTTGAACCCTGAAATTCTTGGCAATACCAATGTTCACTTTGTCTGGTTTTGTTGCAGCATGCCCCATATGATTGTCTCTTGTAAATAAAATGATTATTTCATTGTCAGATTCAAGTGCATTCGCCCAATTTGTGGCTATTTCAACTAGTCCAAACAAACAATAAAAAGAAAAAATTTTTTGCCTATCTTATTATTATATGTAAGCAAATCCAAATAATTGTATGTAGTAATAGCAGCAGTGATTTTAAAAGGATTATTAAAATTATAAATTGAGTTAGTTTTTTTTTAAAGTCTGCAGGGTAATTTATAATTTAAAGGCATATTTTGATATACTGTAAGGTGAATTGTCTTTTTGGTATGATCATTATGATCATTGACCTTTGTTCAAAGTAAGGTTGCTTGCCGAAACTCCTCCAGGAATCAATCAGCAGGGTTTTGGCAGGTTACACATTTTGAGGTTTTGCCATTTCAGCATAGTTTCAACAGGATTGTTGATAAGATTTAATATAGTTTTGCCATGGTTTCAGCAATTACTAAGGAGGTTTCACCCACAACCTTAGTTCGAAGTATCTTCAGGCTTTGAGTAAATCAATTAACTTGCAACTATGTATTATTCAAAACATCACATTATCATACATAAACATAGGATGTCAAGTATTTTTTGAATCCTCAAGAAAATTTTTATTTTATTTTTCAAGAGAAAGAAACTAACACCAATTTTAAATCTGGGAAAAAGCATATCAAAAAACTCAACTTGGTTCCAGTAGAAATTTATTCTCTGGCAATGACAATGGCTCATCATTATCAAATAAACCATTTCATCCTACCTAAAAAATCCAAGAAACCATTAGAGAAGATCATCATCACATTCTTTCCTTTTCTGGGATGATCAATGTTTTTACTATTACCATTAAATCATGACTGTTAATGTAAATGTTGCTATAACATTCTAACCGCGACGCTAATTTCTAAATAAAGTCAACTAATTTCGACGTTATACGAATAAAAATAAAAATGTAATACAAAATAAAATAATAAAAATGTAAATAAATATGAATAATAGATAAAAATAAAATAAGAAATAAAATATAAGGAATAAATAAATGTAGATATAAAAATAAAGTAAATAAAACAAAAATAGAAATAAAAGATTTAGTTCGGAATTAGGGTATTTCGACTAACAAATTAGCGTTAAATCCTAAAAATTGTTGTACATCTTGTTGACACAATATGTATCATAGATTGTTTTTGATCAGCTGTCATTGTTACACTTATATGCTAATGTCATTGCTAAAAATAAGTTATAAATTATATAAAAATTTGGCATCATTTTATCACGTGTTTACAGTGAACCAAGCAGTCGGCTCTAATGATATGCGGTCAAATTTATAGGTCTGGCTGGCACAACAAATTTTATATCGAGAGTCGTCTTTAATGAGGAGAATAGGAAATGTATGACTTTTTTCTATGAAAAGATAACATTTCTATAAAAAATTCCCCAATTATTATTAGCTAAAAGCTCTTTGCAAATTCTACGTTTTTCAAGAAAAGATAAATTGTTTTTTGTCAATTGAAATCTTATTATCGTTTGTATTCTATGCCTAATTTGAAAACTTAATTAAATTTTTATATCAACAAGGGTGAAAAATTGAATTTACTATTTACGTAATTGTAATATTAATATTTAAATGGTTACCCGAGATATGAATTTAAAGAGTTACGATTTTATCGATTATCAATAAAAGAAGAAAAGTGCCAGTTGTTTATAGTGTTTTATTTCTACTGAATATATATTCACACACAATTAAAAAAAACTGTAGACCATAAATGTTCAACAAATAAAAAATAACATATGATTTTAGATATACCATTTAAGTATATAATAAATAATAAACACAATAATAATAATCATGCAAAATTAGCCCATGTAGATCTCTACTATCACGAATTAACATAAAAAGCGTGCCATTATTTCCAGCCTTTTGTCCAGAACATTATATAATATAAAGTGATATTATATCAGCCCAATTTTACTTTGTGTTTCTTGTATGTATTATGAAGTAATTATTGCAAAGAAACCATGTATGATGGAGAAATTCAATCAAGAAAATTCGGAATCTTTGAAACAATACAACTAGTTTTCGAAATCAAAATATCCTCAACGAAAATCGAAACCAAAAATCAAATAATAATAATAATAATAATCCTACTCGAAATACCTTTACCAGATACCAAAAGGAACGAATTGTAAATATTCTAATGATAGTAGCCCATGCGGAAGCCTTCATTTGATGAAATAATATCTTACAAATCATTGTGAGAATATAAAATTCAGTTTTAATTTCGATTTTATTTCGGCTTCCGATTTAAAGTTTGAGATCCAACAATCTCGAAACTAAACTATGAAAGATGCAAAGAAGTAATAGGTATTAGATTTTTAAAAAATTTCACCAACAAGACAAGGTCATTATTAAATGATAATGTTTTATCCATATCAAATAAATAATATGGAGTGAGGTAAACAGGTTTTGATCATGTGACATGTAATTACAAAAAAAAGTATATTTTGTTTATTTTATCGTTAAAAATAAAAAAGCTAAAATTGTTATTCTCTTATTGATGAAGTTGTGATATTGTTTCACTGGGCATCTGACTTCTCTCCTTTAATCGTTATTGAATTTCATTCATTAATTATTAATAATGATGATGATTGTGATTGCGATTGTGATTGCGTGGTTATTATGATATTGATTAATTAAAAGAAGGCATTACATGGGTCAGAAAGGTTCTAATGTTAATATTAAATTTTAATAATTAATTTCCGTTTTTTACTCTTTGTTGAATTACTATGTAATTGCAAACTATCAAAAAAACGGACAAGTAGTATATTAAATTAATATTTGGGAACCACAAATTATTTTTGTTAGACTAATCCATCCTTATTTTTATTGTGGCGAATCCTTTTTCTTTACTCGATTCAAAAGTATTGGTTACCTTTAAGAGGTAACTTTAAATCATACTAAATCATATTTTTAGAAAATATTTATATTATTAAAGAATTATTTTTTATACACTAATTAATTTTTTAATTTTGGTTTGAATGATCGACCTAATAATACTACATCAATGAAATAATACCATGCATTACACGCGTCGATTCTAAAAATAAATCAACGTCATGGTAATTAATATTTATATATATATATAGGGGAAAGTATTTTTTTTAAAATTTTATAGTTAATTAATTGATTAATTTAATAACAATATGCGTTTCAAAATACATGCATACCTTTTCTTTTTAATAATAATATCAGAAGAAATCCTTGCAATTAATAATATACATAATCTTAGACTTTATAGAAAACGCGCAATTAATCAAAATGCCTTTGAGGATTGTTTAAAACCAATAACCGGTGAAAAAGTATTCAAATCAAGTCCCAATTACAACTCTACAATCATCGATGAAAACTCTGCTATAGAATTCTTTCCCAACGCCATCGTATTTCCAAATTCAGTTAATGACACACAATTAGCTATCAAATGCGCTAAATCCTTCAACTTAAATATAACACCAAGATCAGGCGGACATTCCTACGAGAGTTATTCGTTGGGTGGCAAAGATGGTGCTTTGGTGGTTGATTTGAAAAATTTCAAACAGATACAGATTGACAAAATCAACAATTTAGTTAAGGTTGGTGCTGGTAATAGGCTTGGAAATATTTATTTTGCTTTATCTAAAGATAATTATGTGGTGCCAGCCGGAACTTGCCCTTCAGTTGGTATTTCTGGCCATATTTTAGGTGGTGTAAGTATTGCCAGCATCTTTATTTAGTGGACTAGCGTCCATACTCCATATGCCTATGTCTATCTCATATTCATTTATATTAATTTTTTACAGGGAATTGGAAATTTGGTAAGAAAATTCGGTAAATTGTCGGATCAATTAGTATCGGTGGAAATGGTGCTCGCATCCGGTGAATCCATTACAGTCGATACAAATAATCGTCCGGATTTATTTTTTGGATTGAGAGGTGGTGGCGGTGGTAATTTTGGAATCGCCACATCTTTCACAATCAGAATTCACAAAATTGTTCCAAAAGTCACCACAATTAGTATTACATGGGATCTAACCACTCAACAACTACATAAAGTTTTCAATTCAGTGCACAAAAACAGCAATGGACTCACAACAGATCTTACATTCAATATCGTACTCACGCCAGATGAAATTACACTTTCTGGTGTATATTTGGGCGATAAGAACTCTGCATCAAAAGTAATGAATGCATTTTTAAATGGTGTTGGTTCTGAAGGTTTGCAATTGTTCGAAGAATCGTGGTTTGATTCGGTGGTTAGAACTTCGTTTGAGTCAAGAGATAGAAATATAAATCCGAAAATTACACCTTATAACTTTAAAGCTAAATCCTTCTTGGTCGGAAAATCAGGGCTATCAACCAATGGTTTAGACACATTAGTGGAATTTCTAAAGAAAATCCCGTGTGATACATTTGCTGAATTCGATGTATTCGCTGGTGGTATTAATGTCAATCCTAATAAATCAATCTTACAACATTTGGATTTCTTCTACGGTATACAATTATTAACATCGGGTTGGAAATCAGACACACAAGGAAACGTTTGTATTAAACAAATTAACGATTTCGGTAAATCATTCCAACGTGATTTCACATCTCCTTCCAGTTACATAAATTATATAGATAGGGATTTAGACGATTGGCCAACTAGATATTATGGTGACAATTTAAAAACTTTACAAATTTTAAAATCAAATGTTGATCCACAACAATTATTTAAATTTCCTCAAAGTATTCCCCCTATATAATTTTTTTTTCAAGTGTAACTTCTTTTTGTGTCACGTATGACATGACAAATAAAAATAAAAAAATTTCAAAATAATATTTTTCGCCCTCTTTTTCCTCCTTCAAAAAAATGTCTTCATCAAATACTAAAAAAAATATAGCGGGAGAAGATTCAGATATTTTAGAATTTTTGAATCGTAAATTAGCAAATTTATCTGTATCTCCTAACGATGATAATGTCGATATGTCGGAAACTAATGATGGTTTACCTGTTTGTGACACATCTGACTTGGTTGGTAACGAACGATAACGATTATTATTAATATTATCAGTGATTATACTGATTATATATAATGGCTATGATGCTTATATTGAATACGATGCTTATGATGGTTATGTGCGTGTGCTAATAATAATTTATTTAGCTGCCAAGATATTCACAAGCTATTATTGCAGCTGTTTACTCTAAAATTCCTTCTTTTCGTCTTGCTGCAATTACAAGACTTCGAAAATATCTTTCTTTTCGTAATTAATTATCTAATTATCGGTCGTCTCTTTAATTAGCATGATTGTCAGATATTTGATTCAGATAATAATATAATCCTTTTTTTTTTTTAAACAAAAAGAAAAAGTTGATCAAAGGGTTGAAAATGTTCTTGATTTAGATATAGTGCCCTTGCTCATCGAATTTCTTGAAGATCATAATGATAATATGTTACAGGTGAAAGAAAATTTAACTAACTTGAGAAATTGTTATTTATTTTAACCTGCTAAATAAAATGATATTTTTTATTCATGTATATATTTATTCTATTTTTAGTATGAAACAGCTTGGATTATCACAAATATAGCCGTAATATTTCATTTTATATTTTTAAAATTTATAAATTATATAATTATTATTGTTGCCTAATGAATTGAATGATTTTAGGCTGGCTCTACACGACAGATTCAAGTAATAGTTTCAGCCGGTGTTATACAACATCTTGTTGATGTTTTAACAAAATCAAATAAAATGGAAGTGCAATCACAGGTATCTGATAAATAAATAAACAATTAGTTAGATGACTGATTGCATGGTGCAGTTTTGTAATCAAAGAAACAAAGATTCACTCGGATTATTAAATAATGTTTATCATATAGATTATATGGGCTTTGGGAAATATAGCAGGAGATAGAGCAACGTTCAGGGATATTATTTTATCAACCGGTGTACTTGATACATTTATTTATTTGTTGAAGAATTATGGCCAATACAATTATATGATTGTTAGGATAACTGTTTGGGCCGCTGCAAATCTTTGTCGTGCTTGTTCTTCTGCATGTGATTCTTGGTCATCAGTAAGCATATGTGTGAAATAATAATAGTAATGATTATTATTAATTCATTAATATTGATTTTGGAATATTGGTATTATTACTATTATTATTCAATCAGATTTCAGGAGCATTTTCAATTTTTGCAGATATTGTACAATTAGATGATGCTGAGATAATTTCAGATTCCTGGTAAAGATTAAAAATTAATTTTTTTTATTTTATTAACATATATAAATACACTTTTATTTAATATTATTGTTATAGTTGGGCAATGTCTAGAATATTGAATGGTACTCATCGCCAAGATTGTAATTTGATAGTTGATAATAAATTGTGTCGTCGTCTAGTTGAGATACTAAAGTAACCGATTTAACTAATTTATAAATTTTGATTTAATTGTAATCATCAATTCTCAATAATCAATAATTTTAAAAAAATTATACAGCAAAAAAAATTATGATTCTTCAATTCATTTGCCTGTTCTACGTACTATAGTTAACATTACATCCGGAGCAGGTTTAATTTTTTTTGCATATATGATTCAATTTACATATCATATAAATACATACTTATATAAATATTTTTTTTTTTAGAAAAACAAACACAATCGGTAATAGATGCAGGTGCATTAACTACATTAGCAAATTTGTTTTTAACAGGCAAAAATACAACATTAAGGCGTTATGCTTGTCTTGCCATTTCAAATATAGCCGCTGGTACTTTTTGTCAGGTTAGTTAATTATAATACAATAATTTCCTCCGAATTCAATCTTGTCGTCATTTTTTTTCATTATCGCTTTAATCTTTTTTTTTGTATTTTATTTAGGTAGAAGCCGTTCTTAAAGAACCAAGTCTAATTGATCATATTGTCATGTTACTTTGGGATAGTGATATAAGAGTTGTGAAAGAAGCATGTTGGGTACTTAGCAACGTTACAAGATTACATGATCCTGGTCACACAAAGTAAGATTTCTTTTAATCATAACAATAAATAATAATAAATTTTAACCATATTATTATAATTATATTATTTTTATCATTTGTTCCGACTATTATACTCGTCCTCACTATCATTATCAACGTCATAGTTTTATTTTACAATATGATATACTTGCTCCACTTTTACCAATTTTAAAAAATTTATCAACACCCGAGGAATTTCTGCATAAAGTTATTGAACTATTTGTTAATATATTATCAGTCGGTGATATGTGCAGGTCATCACAAACAACAATTTCACAAAATCCTTACGCAAAGCAATTTATTGATGTTGGTATAGTTGATGCTCTTATGATTGTTTTCAATAATCTTAATGATTGTGTGGAGGAGGATCTGTCTTATTTTAGTAATATTAATTATAATAGCTATTTACAAGAGGATGTTTTATATTTATTGTTTTATGGTCCTTTAAATGAAAGAGTTTATTTATTATTGGAAAAATGGTTTTATGGTTATTTACACGGAAATGATAATAGTGGTAGTAGCAGTGCTACTGCTACTAGCAGTAAAAAAGTTGACAATATGGATAATTCCAATGATGATGTTGACGCAGAAATTTCTAATATAGAAGAATATGTTAAGAGACTATCTCTCATGGAAGGTGTAGATGTTTTCTAAATATTATTAATATCATTATTATAAAATAATAAAAGAATAAAGAATAAAAGCAGCATTATTACAAAATAATAAGGATTGATAAAAGATTAATAGTAAAGAGTATTTTTTTATAATGTAAAATACTCTTGTTATTATTAATTTATTTATAATATCTTTGAAAAAAAAATATAGATTAACTACCACCACCATTATTATTAGTGTGTATATTAATTGATAGAATTTTTTTTTTAATTTCATCATTGTTATGTTTTCATATTCCCAGTTCCTTCTTTTATTGATTGATTACACGTTATATCAATTTAATTGAGCATTAATTTACTTTTTTATAATAATTATTTTTTATTATTTGCATATTTTTTTGTTATATAAAGCAACAAAAAGTGCAGGTTATTTTAGTTATATTATCGATTTAAAAATTAATAGGAAATCTAATCTATCAAGTAATCAGAGAGAATAAATAAATAATTAATTGATAATATAAATCTTAATTCTAATTCTAATTCTAATTATAATCACCATCTGTATAAATTATTCATAAACATTCAGCAACAACAAAACTTTACGATTTCTACTCTCGCTTCAATGCTAATGCCCTCATCTCCAATCTCATTCATCTTCCCCTATCTCAAAGTCTCACCTTTTCTTCTCAAAAACTCATAATCTATTCATTCCCCCAATCTAATCAATGTTCGTTATTACTTGAAATACTTCGTAATCAATAATATTAAAATCTTCTTTATCAGTTATTTTAGCTTCATAGGAACTTTGTAAGCATTTTCCTTTAAACCATTGTAAATCAAAACTGAAACAAGGATTTCTTTGGGCACCCCAAATAGCTCGATTAGATCGTTTCACTCTACTAAGTATACAATTTATCACTTTATTTCTATTATCCATCGAAAATATAAAACTATCTCTTGTGGCCATCCACTCCTTTCTACTATGCCATTCCAAATTATTATACCCTCCAATTATACGACAATTATTGTTTTCATTATTATTATTATTATCATTATTACCATCGTTAATGTTTCTGTTGTTATTATTGTTATTATTATTGTTATTATTATTATTATTATTACTATTATTACTATTATTATTATTATTATTATTATTATTATTATTATTGTTATTATTATTATTATTATTATTATTATTATTATTATTA